CCTATCGCGATATCCCTTACGCCCTATCGCGATATCCTGTACCCCATATCCCGTACCCCCTATCGCGATACCCCGTACCCCCTATCGCGATACCCCGTACCCCATATCCCGTGCCCATATTGCGATACCCCGTACCCCCTATCGCGATACCCCGTACCCCATATCCCGTGCCCATATTGCGATACCCCGTAACCCCTATCGCGATATCCCTTACCCCCTATCGCGATATACCGTACCCCCTATTGCGATACCCCGTACCCCCTATCGCGATATCCCGTACCCCTATCGCGATATCCCGCACCCCCTATCGCGATACCCCGCACCCCCTATCGCGACATCCCGTACCCTCACCTGCTGCAGCCCCCGCAGCCGCACCGCCAGCTCCCCCCGCGCCCCTCGGGCCCGCCCGGGGCAGGCGCTCTCCAGCTCCGCGGCGCCCTCTGCAGGCGGCTCCCAGGGCAGCAGCCGCACGCACCCCGGGGGGGGCGGCTCCAGCGGCGCCCGGGGCGGGGGGGCGGCCCTGACCCATAGAGGGGGTCACTTGTGGGGCTGAGCCACACGGACTGACCCCCATGGGGGGCACTTGTGGGGCTCAGCCCCATGGATTGACCCCCATGGGGGGCACCTGTGGGGCTCAGCCCCACGGACTTGATGCCCACGGAGGGCACTTGTGGGGCTCAGCTGCATGGACTGATGCCCATGGGGGGCACCTGTGGGGCTCAGCCCCATGGATTGACCCCCATGGAGGGCACTTGTGGGGCTCAGCCCCATGGACTGAACCCCATGGAGGGCACTTGTGGGGCTCAGCCCCATGGACTGAACCCCATGGAGGGCACTTGCGGGGCTCAGCCCCATGGATTGATGCCCATGGAGAGCACTTGTGGGGCTCAGCCCCATGAATTGATGCCCATGGAGGGCACTTGTGGGGCTGAGCCACACGGACTTGATGCCCATGGAGGGCACTTGTGGGGCTCAGCTCCATGGACTGATGCCCATGGAGGGCACCTGTGGGGCTCAGCCCCATGGATTGACCCCCATGGGGGGCACTTGTGGGGCTCAGCCCCATGGATTGATGCCCATGGAGGGCACTTGTGGGCCTAAGCCCCATGGATTGACCCCCATGGAGGGCACTTGTGGGGCTCAGCCCCATGGATGCCCCTGGCAATGGGGGGGGGACGACGACATGGGTAGAACTTACCCTGGGGGGTAGAAGGACTTGTGGGGGGGGACCCCATTGCCTCCGTGGGGGGGCAGGAGGTGGGGGGGCAGCGGGGCCTGCCCGAGGCTGGAAGAGCACCTGTGGGGGGGAAAGATGGTGGGGGACCCCCCGGTTATGGGGTCCCTATGGGGCAGTGAGGGGGTTCCTATAGGGTGCTATGGGGCAGTGTGGGGGTTCCTATAGGGTGCTATGGGGCAGTGCGGGGGTTCCTATAGGGTGCACTGGGGCAGTGTGGGGGCCCCCATAGGGTGTTATGGGGCAGTGGAGGGGTCATGGGGCAGTGGGGGGGTTCCTATAGGGTGCTATGGGGCAGTGTGGGGGTTCCTATAGGGTGCTATGGGGCAGTGCGGGGGTTCCTATAGGGTGCACTGGGGCAGTGTGGGGGCCACCATAGGGTGTTATGGGGCAGTGGAGGGGTCTCTATAGGGAGCTATGGGGCAGTGTGGGGGCCCCCATAGGGTGTTATGGGGCAGTGGAGGGGTCTCTATAGGGAGCTATGGGGCGGTGTGGGGGCCCCCATAGGGTGTTATGGGGCAGTGGAGGGGTCTCTATAGGGAGCTATGGGGCGGTGTGGGGGCCCCCATAGGGTGTTATGGGGCAGTGGAGGGGTCATGGGGCAGTGGGGGGGTTCCTATAGGGTGCTATGGGGCAGTGTGGGGTGGTGTAGGGGTCCCTATGGGACAGTGTGTGCAATGTGGGGATCCCCATGGGGCAGTGTGAGTCGCTATGGGCCAGTATGGGACAGTGTGTGGGTCACTATGGGTTGCCATGGGTCAGTGCCAGTCACTATGGGTCAGTGCGTGGGTCTCTGTGGCTCGCTATGGGGCACGGGGGGGCAGTCTGTGGGATGCTGTGTGTTGCTGTGGGTCTCGATGGGTCAGTATATGGGTCGCTATGGGTCAGTGTGTGCTGCTAGGGGTCTCTGTGGGTAAGTATATGGGTCGCTTTGGGTCTCTATGGGTAGCTATGGGGCACTGTGCGCTGTTATTGGTCTCTATGGGTCAGTGTGCATTGCTATGGGTCTCCATGGGGTCTCTATGGGTTGCTGTGGGTCTCTATGGGTCTCTATGGGGTCTCTATGGATTTCTATGGGTCTCTATGGGGTCTCTATGGGGTCTCTATGGGTCTCTATGGGGTCTCTATGGATTTCTATGGGTCTCTATGGGGTCTCTATGGGTCTCTATGGGGTCTCTATGGATTTCTATGGGTCTCTATGGGGTCTCTATGGGTCTCTATGAGGTCTCTATGGATTTCTATGGGTCTCTATGGGGTCTCTATGGGTCTCTATGGGGTCTCTATGGATTTCTATGGGTCTCTATGGGGTCTCTATGGGGTCTCTATGGGGTCACTATGGGGTCACTATGGGTCTCTATGGGTCGCTATGGGGCAGTACCTGGTGGCGGGCAGCCAGGCCCGGGGTGGGGGGCAGGCGGCCCAGGCCCCACCGCAGCCCAGGCTCCCCACGGCGAAGGGGTCCCGACCGGCCCTGCCCCCCAGCGGCTCCACGGCGCGATGCATCCAGCCTGCGAGCAACAGCCCATAGGGAACAATGGGGCCCCATAGGGAACAATGGGGCCCATAGGGAACAATGGGGCCCCATAGGGAACAATGGGGCCCATAGGGAACAATGGGGCCCATAGGGAACAATGGGACCCATAGGGAACAATGGGGCCCCATAGGGAACGATGGGACCCATAGGGAACGATGGGGCCCATAGGGAACGATGGGGCCCATAGGGAACGATGGGGCCCATAGGGAACAATGGAGCCCCATAGGGAACAATGGGACCCATAGGGAACAATGGGGCCCATAGGGAACAATGGGGCCCATAGGGAACAATGGGACCCATAGGGAACAATGGGGCCCCATAGGGAACAATGGGGCCCATAGGGAACAATGGGACCCATAGGGAACAATGGGACCCCATAGGGGACAATGGGACCCCATAGGGAACGATGGGGCCCCATAGGGAACGATGGAGCCCCATAGGGAACGATGGGGCCCCATAGGGAACGATGGGACCCCATAGGGAACGATGGAGCCCATAGGGAACGATGGGACCCATAGGGAACGATGGGGCCCCATAGGGAACAATGGGGCCCATAGGGAACAATGGGGCCCATAGGGAACAATGGGACCCCATAGGGAACAATGGGACCCATAGGGAACAATGGGGCCCCATAGGGAACAATGGGGCCCCATAGGGAACGATGGGGCCCCATAGGGAACGATGGAGCCCCATAGGGAACGATGGGGCCCCATAGGGAACAATGGGGCCCATAGGGAACAATGGGGCCCCATAGGGAACGATGGGGCCCCATAGGGAACAATGGGGCTCATAGGGAACGATGGAGCCCCGTAGCACCCCACAGACTCCCCAAAGACCCCCAATAGGGCCCCACAGACCCCCAATAGCGCCACATAGACCCCTAATAGCACCCCTAATAGCACCCCATAGACCCCAATAGAGCCCCACAGACCCCCCACAGACCCCCAATAGCGCCCCATAGACCCCAATAGAGCCCCATAGACCCCCCACAGACGCCCAATAGCGCCCCATAGACCCCAATAGAGCCCCACAGACCCCCAATAGAGCCCCATAGACCCCAATAGAGCCCCATAGACCCCAATGGAACCCCATAGGCCCCTACAGAGCCCATAGACCCCAATGGAGCCCCATAGACCCCCCCATAGACCCCTAATAGCGCCCCATAGACCCCAAGAGAGCCCCATAAGCCCCCAGAGCCCCCCACAGCCACACCACAGCCCCCTATGGACACCCGATAGCACCCCAGAGCCCCCTATAGACACCCTACAGAGCCCCACATACACCACATAACCCCCCATAGACACCCCACAACCCCCCCATGGACACCCCATAGATAGACACCCATAGACACTCTACAGCACCCCACAGTGCCCCACAGCCCCCCCATAGACACCGCATAGCCCCCCACAGCCCCCCCATAGACACCCCACAGCCCCTCAGACACTCCATAGCCCCCATAGACACCGCATAGCCCCCCACAGCCCCCCCATAGACAGACACCCATAGACACCCTACAGCACCCCACAGCCCCCCCCCAGACACCCCATAGACAGACACCCATAGACACCCTACAGCACCCCATAGAGACCGCATAGCCCCCCCACAGCCCCCCTATAGACACCCCACAGCACCCCCAGAGACACCCCACAGCCCCTCAGACACCCCATAGCCCCTCAGACACCCCATAGCCCCCATAGACACCCATAGCCCTCCATAGAAACCCCATAGTGCCCCATAGCCCCCATAGTGCCCCATAGCTCCCATAGACACTCATAGAAACCCCATAGTACCCCATAGCCCCCATAGTGCCCCATAGACACTCATAGACACTCATAGAAACCCCATAGTGCCCCATAGCCCCCACAGTGCCCCATAGCCCCCATAGTACCCCATAGCCCCCCACAGACACTCATAGGAACCCCATAGTGCCCCATAGCACCCACAGTGCCCCATAGCCGCCATAGACACCCAAAGCCCCCCATAGACACTCATAGGAACCCCATAGTACCCCACAGTGCCCCATAGCCTCCATAGTGCCCCATAGCCCCCATAGACACCCATAGCCCCCCATAAACACTCATAGGAACCCCATAGACACTCATAGGAACCCCATAGTGCCCCATAGCCCCCACAGTGCCCCATAGCCCCCATAGACACACATAGCCCCCCATAGACACTCACAGGAACCCCATAGACACTCATAGGAACCCCACAGTGCCCCATAGCCCCCATAGTGCCCCATAGCCCCCCCAGTGCTCCATAGCCCCCACAGACACCCATAGCCCCCCATAGACACTCATAGGAACCCCATAGTGCCCCACAGTGCCCCATAGCCCCCATAGGGCCCCATAGCCCCCATAGTGCCCCATAGCCCCCCATAGACACTCATAGGAACCCCATAGTGCCCCATAGCACCCACAGTGCCCCATAGCCCCCATAGACACCATAGCCCCCCATAGACACTCATAGGAACCCTATAGTGCCCCACAGTGCCCCATAGCCCCCATAGACACCCATAGCCCCCCACAGACACTCATAGGAACCCCATAGCCCCCATAGTGCCCCATAGCCCCCCCAGTGCCCCGTAGCCCCCACAGACACCCATAGCCCCCCATAGACACTCATAGGAACCTCATAGTGCCCCACAGTGCCCCATAGCCCCCACAGTGCCCCACAGCCCCCATAGTGCCCCATA